TATGGAAAGCTTGATTTCAAAAGAAAGAAGAATAATTGAACTGTCACTGAACCAACAATTTTTTGGAGATAGATATAATATAATATAATAGAATAAAGCAACGAACAATAATAATAAATAATATCCAACATTAATTCCTTTATAAGTTAGCCAATAATTTTATTTTATTTTCCAAGAAAAGGTTGTGCTACTTAAGCTTTACATCTAAATAATTATAATAATAATAATAAAAATAGAACAATTATATGAAGAGTATGTTTGATGAAAAAGGGCAATAATAAGATATGATATTTGCAAATTAAAACTATATAGAGTAAAACATTACCTTAAATTATAAAAGTCCCAACCTCCCATTAATTAGGTGCACCAACTATAGTTAATTACACAATAAGAAACAGTTGTACATATAATTATTATTAGCCTAACATTATTTTGATTTTATGTAAAGTAACACTTTATCTTTTCTATAAAATTTATATATAAATAACATTATTATATGAGACGCAGATTCTTATCAACTCATATCTAAGTACATTAATTGTCAAAATCATTGAAAATCTTTCTTCTTCATCTCCACAATATATTGATTTTATTTATTTATTCATATATGAAATTATATGCCTTTAAGAAAATTGTTTAATAAATAATATAATTGTAAATCATAAAATATAATTATAAATATAATGTCTGATATCCTACTTATAAATATAAGAAAATTGTTTCTGCTTTATTAATTAGGTACCGAATTTATGGTATTGTGTACTCTTGTATATCGTGTTCATGAAACTATAATGAATTTTTCTCATCCGTAGATGTAGTGATGTTGTTTAAACTTCAATTATAAGTTGTAATTACTGAGTAGACTTTCTACCTCTAATACTACTTGCTTAATCCACATAATATTCATTTTATTTATACTAAACTTTTTGCCTCTACAATTACTTTGCTTAGCTAGCTCGTGCCTAACCTTTAACTCCCTCATATTAGTTTAATATGTTGTGATATTATGGCTCGTTTTCATATTTATTCTCATATAAAATTGTATGTCTTTAACAAAAACTATTTAATAAATATATAATTGTAAATAAGAATAGAATTATGATAGTTGAATTAAAATATGAATCCTATTAGAAATATAACGTGTCTCGTATCATACTTATAAATATAAGAATGAGAACAGATTCAAGGTTATGAGAGAATGTGAAAACACATGGTGTTTGATGTACGAGTTAAATTAAAATATGAATCCTATTAGAAATATAACGTGTCTCGTATCATACTTATAAATATAAGAATGAGAACAGATTCAAGGTTATGAGAGAATGTGAAAACACATGGTGTTTGATGTACGAGTTAAATTAAAATATGAATCCTATTAGAAATATAATATGTCTCGTATTAATGGATAAAAACAAGACAAATGAATCAGGAAGATGCATTGGATTAGTGATTAAAATGTCGTGATCAATCAATAATTGAGATTAACCACAATAATTAAAGAGATAAAAACAAAATTAATCACCAAATATAAGATGGACATTTAGTGAACAAAGTTTTGGTAGGTTTCTTACAAAATAGACAACATGACATTGACACAATAGATTACGTGTGAAATCAAAATCTTATATAATTTCCATTTACATACTTCTCTCTAAGTTTGAACAAGTTAGGTACTTAGGTTTTAGTTAACTTTAATAATGTTACTTTCACACTCAATTTTACACGTGTTTTTCATGTTTTTAATACCCACACGATTTTCCTTCTCTTTCCTTTCTGGGTAAAGATAATTTATTCCAACATGATTCATGAAAATGGTAAAATTTAAAACCCATCCATTTTCGATGCAGGAGACTTCTTCATCCACATCCACACATGTAATACACATGTTCATCTTTTAATCCAATTGTATTTGTTTTATTTGAATACTCACATTCATTTTCTTTCTTTTTGCTTTTTAGGTAGAGTAAACGAAAAAGTCCCACCCAAATAATGGTTTAATAACACTTTCCCACTTACTGACTTTTAAAATATCATTTTATTATCTAAATTTATATTTCATTTCTGATTTTAGCATCGTTACCATCTCACAACACCATCATTCTCTTCTTCGATCATTACTCACCAAAATCCTTCAAACCCTACTCTCGTCGATCTTACCAATCGTCGACAATCGAACGATTAGGGTTTGTGTAGCCGCCTCTCCGAAGTAATTTTGATCAATCCCAACCACTAAAATCAAACCTTCTACTACAAAAAAACTCATTGACCTCTCTTCTTCAAAAGCCTTAACAATTTGAATCAAGTTTGTTCCCTATTCGTCATTGGAATATAAATTTGAATAGTAAATTGATATTTTAAAAGTCTGTGGGTAGAAAAATGTTATTAAACCATTATTAAGGTGAGAAAAAATAGTTAACTCTTCTAGGTAAGATTATTTATTCAAATCTTTCGATGAAATAGTAAAATTATATATGTATATCATATACAAAAGTTTTTATTAACCCCCATAATATTTAATTTTATTTTATATTAGTCTCGGTTTCTGGTTTCTGGTTCCGGTTTTGGTTCCTAACTATAGAAACCGGAACCGGAACCGTACAGTAACGGTTCCAAAAATTTGGAATCAAAACCTACCCATTGACGATTGGTTCTGGATAGAAATCGGAACCAAACCCAGGGTACCCGTCGGTTCCTGTTTCAACCAGTTCTTTTGAACACTCCTATGTATATGTTCAAACTTCAAACGCATTTATTTTCAAGGAAAACGTAATTAACCATTATTAGGGTGGGAAAAAATAGTTAACTCTTCTAGGTACGATTATTTATTCAAACCCTAAACCCTAGGTAATCATTATTAGGGTGGGAAAAAATAGTTAACTCTTCTAGGTAAGACTATTTATTCAAACCCTTCGATGAAATGGTAAAATTATATATGTATACGTTCAAACTTCAAACCCATTCATTTTCGAGGAAGGAGACTTTTCTACTTGTTTTTTCAATAAGAAGAAATTAGGGTTTCATTCAAATTTGACCACAACGCGGATATACTATCCTCTGTATATGAATCTTGATGTATCTAGAACATTTTTTATTTTTCACATTGTTAATTGAAACGAAACATAATTTATATGATTATCTAACCACGACATGACACATTAACACGTGTTACACAGTTACGTTAATTTAGTTGAACATTGTCCGATTTCACATTATATTACGTGTCCCCTGTCTTAATAATTTGCATAAAAAGGAATCAATCAAGATTTACCATAAAGATACGCAACAAACAACATAAAAATAAATAAATAAAATATTAAAGCATAAATAAGAATTTATTTAATTATTGGATAAATAATAAATTATTTACAAATTGTTTTAATGTTCTTTTTTTCTATATTATAAATTCTTCAAGTTGACTCCAGAAAACAGTCCTCCGTTACAATAACAGCGTCAGCATCCCACCACGTGTCCACGTCATTCTCCGTTACATCCTCTAACGGCGAGTTAACTTTCCTCATATCACCCACAGTTAACGCGCTGTTGACGTTATCTCTCACGTAAAGTTTCGCCACGCCGCCGGCTTTGACCCCTCCAACGATATTCCCCAGTTTTGGTCTCCACTCGGCCAATATCGCCGGTAGTTTAGATCCGATACGCATGTCCCAACCACTCAACGCCACACCTCCGCCTTCATTCTCCGCCGCGGAGAATATCACCGACGGACATGCTGACGATGTAGCAACAAAAGCGGGAATATCATGTTTCCGGTGAAAATCAGTAGCGATATTTCGGATTTCTCGTTCGTTATTCATATCATAAATCGTCAACATATTTCCCGAAACATTACCCGTATCGTCGTCTTCAACATTCAAACCTAATCCTAAACCTAGATTGTCCCATAACTTGACAACACTCTTACCACCGGTAAGCTCCGACCAAGAAAAAAAGTCTCCGATGCTCCTCCTACAACGTCGTCTAAGACCCAAATTACGGTTTTGCCATTGCTCATCTGTATAAACATGACCGGAACCTCTTACACGGAAGTCATTTTGATCAACTGCAGTGTCGTCTTCATCATCTTCGCTAAGATCATATTCTTGTTCATCGTCTGAGGACGAACAAGAGGCGACATCTGTATCTGAATCGTAATCGGAGTCGTCAAGAAGAGGGTGGTGGAATTGTGGAGCTAAATAGGGGTATTTTTGTAATCTAAGGATTAAAAGTTTGATTTTTGTGACGATGGTGGTGAAGGAAGCTATAAGGGCGAGTATTAAAGCGCCCCACTTCCAGAAACTGTAAACTTGGTGAAGCTTTCCGAGGCCTGAAACTGCAGAAACTTGTGAGAGAAGAGACGGGTTGTGGAGAGGTAAGCTGTCTATGTTGGTTTCGAAATCTATTATTCTATTGACAACAGGAATCTCCATGGCTACAACAACAGAAAAACAATAAAACAGAGAAGAAAAATGACGAAAAAAAATGAAGCAAAGAGGTGTTTTGGAGAGAAATTGAAGAAGAGTGTGAGAGACAGATGAGTTACAGAGAAGAGAGGAGGTTTAAGAAGGCAGGTGAGTTGGGCATTTATAAAGATAAGCTGGATGGAGGTTGGGGTTCAAATGATAAAATTGAAAAAGTCTTGGTGGAAGACGAAGTACTTAATAATATTTATTTGTTTTTATATATATATATATATATTTTTTTTTTTTATATAACTGATTTTTTATTTTCGTTATTTTTAAGCATACAATATATTATTAATAAAAAAGAAAGGTTGATGTGGCAGATAAAGATTGGGTGAATGGTGGAGATGTTGGACACGTCAGAAAAGGCGGGAGACCTTTTTGGAATAAGAATAAGAAAAAGGATAGGCAGATAGGGACGGAGGAGTCAGCACGAACTCGTATTTTGCATTATTTAATAAATTTAATCATTAAAGTGGGGCCGTTGATGAGTCATGTAATCGGACGGACATGAAATCTCATCCTCTAATTTTTAACTCATAATTTTATATAATTGATGGTGGAGATGTCAGTGACGGTTTCAACCACTGGATTTCTGCCACGCGTGGACAGCTTGTCGCTTACGAAGAATAACATGAAGTTCTAGAGTTTGATAGGGCCTTCATGCTAATGTTATAATGTATTAGTGGTGGTCCCTACCTTTGCACTGGCGGCCAAATCATGAAATGGACGGTGGTGATGGAGGTCTTGATCATACACGAGGATCACGAGATTAGTAGATGCTTCCCACATTAATGGTGGTCCATTATGAGAAAATTTTACAAACTTCCAAAGCTAAGACTGAGACTTTTTGTTAGATAGAGTGATCATTAGTTTAGTGTTCAGAGTTCTATGATGAATAAATTTAGACTGATAAATTATTATTGTAAACATAGTGTGTTAGTTCATAATTGGTTTGATAGAATCTTTTTATATCAGAAATTTAGTAAGAAGAGTTTGTGTACGTAATATTACTCTTTTAAGATATATCCATTAGTTTAATTACGATTTACGTGTATTATCAAATATGTTGATTTGACGGGTGAGATTAGATTAACTGTTTGTCAAGTCAAAAATTTTCATACATGTATGTTTAGCATTTGAGTTTTAGGTTATTTTCGACATAAAAGTATTATGTGAGATGGAAGTATATACATTTGTTCAATTACAATTACGTATACGTTAGATACATTGATGCAACGTCTTTATTTATTATCTAAACGTTTATCATATCATTTATTCGTGTTAAAGATCGATAATGATGTTAAGGAGTAAGATTTTATATATATATTGATTATTGCTAGTCTACTATCACGATGGTTCATAACTTAACCCTATTCACAATTTCACATATTACTATAAGCAACATTTCCTTAGTTATATCAAGGGGCGGATGCAACCTAGTTTTGGGTGGGCCATAACCCACTTTATTTTTTTTTTAAATACTAATATGCGCAATTTTTATATTTTGGTTCACCTTAATAAAAATATTAATAGAAAAAAATATTAATGTGCAATTAATTTTTATTTTGGTCCACCCTAATAGAAATTTCTGGATCCGTTACTGGTTATATTCGATAGAGAAGTTTAGGCCAATATTGTGTTGTGTTACTATGAAAGAGGGTCATATTCAACATGAATTTAATATTTTTGAAAAGAGAATAATAAAATTATAATTGAGTTGCATGGTTAGATGGTCGGTGGGTAACTTTACACAATGAACCGACTTGATTATGTTTAAAAGTTTAAATTAGAGAGTGGGTTCCATATGTTCTTGTTGTATTATTGGAAATCACAAATTTAATTTTAAGGTATATGTATACTTTAATACACCAAGTGTTTTGAAGTTGAGATATGGATCAATTGATTATCAGTTAACCCCCCTGAGGTTTAATAATAATAGGCGACGTTGATAGTTTTCGAAACGAGGGATGGTAAATTGTTCACTCAGCAAACATAGTTTGATTAGATATAATAAAAACATATGCATTTGTCATAATATGATTAAAATATGATTTTTAATATAATTCTTAATTTTAGTAAATAATTTTTTTTAATTATTCTCCAAATTAATGTTAGAAATTAAATATCAAAATTTCTTTAAACTAAAACTAATTATATTTTTTTAACGAAATTAAGAATAAAATATATTGTTTTTATAAAGAAATAGTAAATGTAAATAAGAGTTATTTTAATTTTCTAAAAATAAAAAATGAAAAAAATACAAATTTTTTTTTACTCTTAGTGTTGGAGTCAACTGGGCTCTAATGACTTAAACACTAGAGTGGATTTGCTATATTTCTAGAGAAGCATTAGTTAGAGCTGGGCAAAAGTTGGGCCGGGCAGTCTCAGGCCTAGGCCTAACTAGGATCGGTCCCAATTAGGGATTAGGCCCAAATTGGTTGAGATTGGGCCTGATCTGTTTAAGACCAGTCCCAAGACCTTCCTATAGGCCTAAAATTTTTTAATTTAACCCCTAATTCTAAAGTTAAATTTTAACTTTTAAATTTATTATGATTATCATAGGCTTCGCTTGACACATTATTTCTACTTATATTCCCAATCTTATTTATAAAATATTTTTTTTTTTGTTATTTGAGAAATATTAGTATTTTTTTAATTACTTTTAGACCTATTAAGTTTATTAATTTAATTAAATACCCCTAGAAAAGAGTTTTAAAACTAACAAAAACACCCCCATCCACTCATACTTGCCAGATTTCGGCAACCATCGTCGATGGTAGCCTGAATCTATCACAAAGGCCTACAAATGACCGGAGTTGGCCGTTAATTCACTGATATGGTCGTCGTTGACGGTCAACGACGGCCAAATATGGACTTTTCCGGCCGTCGACGGCCAGATCTGGCCGGAAAAGCCATATCGACGCCCTACCTGCCAGATCCAACCAGTTTGCGTCGTAACGCCATTTTCTGGCCGGAAAAGCCATATTGACGCCCTACCCGCCAGATCCGACTGGTTTGCGTCATAACGCCATTTTATGGCCAGATTCTGGCGGTGGTGGTTGGAATCTGGCATTGTGGGTGGGTGGGACTGTTTCTGTCATTTTATAAAGGTTTTATATATTGGGGTGTTTAGTTAAATTAGCAAACCTAGGGGGTTTTTTTTGTAAATTTTACCTCATAATACTCTCCTATTCAACTACCCAATATTATTTCCAAAATTTTATCCAAAATAATAAAACAAACGGACCCATATATTTTAGGAGGGTTTTGATTATTTGTCGGGGGATTTGATAATCAATAACACTACGAACACCGAAAAAATTGCACCGAAATTCTGTACCGGCCTACGTGTAACGCGCGTCTGAATTTTTTTACAATTTTTTTCTAGTGAACGGCCGTCCATCAAATTTGGAGGCTGTTCACTCACATGGACGCCCTTCCCCATTTAAAGGACGCCCGTCCATAAATAAAATACAATAAAAAAATTTACAAAACATTATAGACGACCGTTCATAGGTTGTGGACGGCCGTCCCTTAATTTTGGACGGGTGTCCGCAAATACGGGACGCCCGTCCAAACTTAATTTATTTTAAAAAATAAAATAAAAAATTTGGACACCCGTCCATAAATTGTGGACGGGCGCCCACAAATAATGGACGCCCATCCTTGACCCAAGTATGAAAAAAAAAAAAAAAAAAAAAAACTTTGGACGGGCGTCCATTCGTCCATACTTTTAATAAAAAAAAAAATTTCTAAACAAAAACACATTCTTCTTCTTCTTCGTCTACATTCCTCCTCTCTTTTTCTTCGTCTCAGGTTGCCATGCTGATGCAAACGAGAAATCCAAGTGTCCAGACAACTGATTGACGGTCTGTGAAAATTACAAATATAAATCAGTAAATGCTTTAATTTCTATTTGCAGGATCTAGATATACATGCGCCGGTAGACAGCAAGTCATTTTTTTTAATCAGCTTCCAGAAAAATAAATGAAAAAAGGAAGGGAAAAAGATATATGGACAACAATATAGATAATTACCTTTCCAGTGTTAGAATCCACCAACATACCCTCTGGGTTGTCTCTAACAATTATTAGAAGTTTACCATCAGGACTCAACGAAGTATGCTGCAAAAGCACAAAATTAAAAAAAATAAAAAATTCAATTGAAAGCTTCAGCTTGTAAGTGCTTCATATATTGCCCAGAAAATGAAGCACAAAACCCTCCATGTCAACAAAGGCACCACATACTATACGAACAGATGGACTGTTGAATGTAACTAACTTACATTCACTCGCCAAGGAAAACGGAAATGGTTAGAGAGTTGATACTTTTCCATATCAAAATCTCTGACACCACAATCATTATTTGAGGCAGTGAAATGGACTGCACCACTGGCAATGAAGACGAAGAAAAAGAGAGGAGATGGGGAATGAAGACGAAGATGTTTTACAATAGAAGAATGGGTTTTTGTTTAATTTTTTTTTTTTTTTTTTATTAAAAGTATGGACGCGTCCAAATGTAAGGGACGGGCGTCCATTCCATTCCTAATGGATGCCCATCCAAACGTTAGGGATGATGGTCCAAAATTTATGGACGGTAGTCCCCAAAGTTTTTTTTTTTTTTTTTTTTCATATTTGGGTAAAGGACGGACGTCCATTATTTGTGGGCGCCCGTCCAAACTTAAGGGACGCCGGTCCACAATTTATGGACAGGCGTCCAAATTTTTTATTTTATTTTTTAAAACAAATTAAGTTTGGACGGTCGTCCACAACCTATGAACGGCCGTCCATAATGTTTTGTAATTTTTTTTATTGTATTTTATTTATGGACGAGCGTCCTTTAAATGTGGAGGTCCGTCCCTTGTATATGGACGGACGTCCATGTGAGTGAACAACTGTTCACTAGAAAAAAATTATAAAAAAATTTAGACGCACGTTATACATAGACTGGTATAGAATTTAGATGTAACTTTGTCGGTGTCCGTAGTGTTATTGTTTGATAATTGGGTCAGGGGGTTGTTGAAATTAACCAATCTCGGACCTGGGGATGGTCTTAGACTTGGGCATTGGAGAAAAGACCAGTCTTTGGGAGGATCGGTCTTGGGACCGGTCCTTGGGCCCGGGCCCAAACCCAGCTCTAATCATTTTCCCAGATTCAATAACATAATTAACAGCTACTGTTATATCCATAAACAAAGGGGTGGGTGGGTGGATTCTTTTAAATTTTTAATGTTCCGGGCAATAGAGGATACTCCTCTGTACTAAGGTCCACCGATACATATAGTACTGATCCATGTGACTTCGAATTTACTCGTTCGATCACCTTATCTTCGGCCACTATAGCTTGTCTACCGGTTCGACACTTGTTATCAAGCCAAAATGGACCGTTTGATCGCCAGGATATGTCCGTAAAAGGCGAGCCAACGCCCCAGACCGGTTTCCCAATTTCTTGTACTCGATGAATGGAAGCTCATTCTCATCACACGTGTTGATCATCAGCGCCATTGAGGTCTCCACGACATCCACACACGGGCATCTACATACTCCATGGCGGCGGAGCAAGAGCCGGACTTGAAGAAGGCAATTGTGGGGACTTTGAATCTTTTAAAAATTTCTGCTGTTCAACTCAGAGTTTCATGGGCATCAACAATGGCACAAACGGATTGCTTTTTGGGTCGGGTTGAAAGGAGCTTTTCAAGGGATAAAAGCAATTGGCTTTTGCTATCCGGGTTCATGGCGACCCGTATAAACGGATCCTGGGAAAAAGAGGCGGGATTAGAAGAGGCGAGATCAGAGAAAACAACAAGTGTGGTTTTGAAATCAAGGCAGTGAGTTTGCAAGCTCCATGCTTGGATGAAGATGGCCATGCCCAGGAGCAGCTACAACATAAACCACACCTGATCCTGGTCTTATTCCTGACATTTCTTTTCTGAACTTGGTTTGACTTTGGATTTGGATTTCAAACACAAATTGGGGGTTGCCGATTTAGTGTTATCTTTTATGAAGGAAAATGGGCACTGATCTCGAGTAGTAAAACAAATTTAAACAAGGAGTTGACATGGCTGATTTAATTATCTCTTACAATTCATTTCCACGCTTGGTTGAGTGCAGTGTTGTATAAGTTCTGGATTTCCCAAAACTTAAATTAGCTTGAGGATAAATCTACTTTATGATTTACTGGTGTTATCAGTCAGATTCATGCTTTAGAAAACAAACGAAATCTTCTTTTGTACAAATTTTCAGGGAATACTCGGGAGGAAGCTGAAGTAGATGTTATCCAGACCATCTAGGATTGTCGTTTCATTTATTTAAATCTTCTTAGTTCAGGTCTACTTTTAAATCATCCACGTTTGAGATGAATTAGTTATGAGTAATGCTACCGTTACCGACCGGTGTATATCGAATGACGTGATAAAATCTTGACCGTTGATTTATTATCAATTAATATTAATCAACGATCAGGATTTTGCTACATCATTCGATGCACAAATTCGGTGTAAATTTTTCGATAACTCTATCATTTTCCATTAGTTATTACAGTCATCCTGTAGGACTAAAACGACTAGGTGTTAGAATTTTAATTAATTATAATTTATTGTCTAAAATTACTATTTGGTCCTTCACTTTTATATATTAGTTTTATATAAAATTTAACTGTTGAGCAGTTTCTTAACAATTATCCGTAGCAATTGTCTTTGATGGAAAGACTTCTGCGTATTGTAAAAGGGGAAAGTTACAGATTTCCAATATACGCAATTAATTTTGATTTCCGAAAAACCATTGTTTTGAGAATTGCAGTGCATTGGAAGAGTCTGTAATCTTTGAAGAAGACAATAACAACAAATTGCGATGGCTAGAGGTTAATGATTAAGTTATTTCGCTTCCGCAAATCTCCATGATTATATGAACATGTATATGAATAATGATATGAACATATACATGTTGATTTTGAGTAATTTTACATGATTGATCTTACATGTGGTATCATAGTCTTTCTTTTAATCTTTGCTTGTCATGTAATTGTTTGTTGCAAATTTAGAGTATATTGCATAAAATTGGTACTTTTTATATTAAAACCCGTAACTTTTATAGGACATAATTTCTTGCATAAATCATATTTGTTTTCGATTTTGGTATCATTAGAATCGTTGTTGAAAGAGTTTTCCAACGATATATTATTTGTCAAAAACAGAGTTGTGGTAGAAAAGTTATGCTAGTTTAAATTTTCCGTAAAAATTATCGTTTGGGTGATTCGGTAGCCATTTACGGCGCCAAATTGGGACAGAAATGTCATTTGGGATGTCACTGACATATTGACATAGGCCATACGTCCACGTTCAAGTTTCCCCTCTAAAAAGTCGAAAAAATGGCAAGAATTGGGCTATTAAAAACTGTCGAAAATTGGTTGAAAATTTGCAAAAACTGGGTCAAGAAGAACCGGTCAAACCGTGTCAATGAATCAATCAACGAGTCAAATTGGACCAATGAACCAGGTAAAAGGTCAACCCGAATTGGTCAAACAGGTCAAACAGACCCACGTTGATCGTTGGTGTGTGTACGCACGTGAAGTTGTGCGTGAGCGTGTGGGAGGTATGTTTGGGCGCATGCTGGCATGTGTAGCATGTGGGAGGGCCATGTCGGCGCGTGTGGGTGTGTGTTGTCTTCTGGAGGCACGTGATAGCGTGTGGAGACACATGGCTGTGCGTGGTTGAGTCATAGTAGCGCGTGGGAGTCAGTGACAATGCATGTGATGGTTTTTATGACATGTATTAGTCTGTTATGCATAAATAATGTGATATTCTTGTTTTGATTTATGTTATGTTGTGTTATATGCAATAACTCATGTTATAACTATATGATATTTTATGATCGTATATATTTGATTAATTTAGAGTAGCCACAACATCTAAGTTATGATAATATATATATTAAGTAATATTAATTATGATCATATTAAAGTTAATGACATCATTTTGTAATTAATCATGTTAATATAATCTTTTACCCACAGGGAATGTTATATTTTCAGGATTAATTAGAATGAAATAAAAATTATTCTTATTTCCTAATTAGCCCACAAGTATTACGAAATATTAATAATTTTTAGTTTCATCATTAAAGGATAATGAATCATAATATGTAATGTCTTTACCCACATGGAGATTTTATGATATGTCGATTCATTTATGATTTGTTATTTGTTTTACATTGGTAAACTTATAATTGTTATTGATGGTTTGTGCCTCATAATTTATTTAGTCAACATATTTGTTGATATATTTACAGTTGATCAAACTTTGTTGATGGTTGAGGATAAAGTTCCTTATTTAAATGGTGACAACTACAAAAACGGGAGGGAGGCTATTCTTCTTCATTTAGGGTGCATTGATCTTGACTATGCTCTTTGTAAGGAAGAGCCACCTACACCTACGGATACTAGCACTCAGACTCAGATTGCTTTGTATGAATGGTGAGAGCGATCCAATCGTTTAAGCATAATGTTTATCAAATCTCACATTATGAGTAGTATTCATGGGTCGATATCGAAGTGTGAGAATGTCAAGGATCTGATGGATGCAATTCATGCTTAGTTTAAAACATCAAATAAGGCATTAGGCAGCACCCTAATGAGTAGATTGACATCCGTGAAGCTCACTAGTATTAAAGGAATTCATGAGCACATTATGAAAATGAGATGAGATCCCTTCAGATGGTGATTAATGATGATTTCTTGGTGTATTATGCCTGAACTCTCTCTCATCTCATTATACTCCTTTCAAGATATCCTATAATACACAATGCTAAATGGTCAATCAATGAACTTTTGACCATGTGTGTTCAAGAGGAGGAGAGATTGCTTCAAGAAGTGAATGAAACTGTACATTTGGTGATAGGAAATGTCAAGCATACTTCAAACAAGAATAAGAAGTGGAAGGGAAAAGGCAAGTTGCATGAGGTTACGAGCAAAGGAAATAAGGACAACACCAAGTGTTTCTTCTGTAAAAAGAAGGGACACATGAAGAAGGATTGTCCTAAAAGAAAGACTTGGCTTGACAAGAAAGGTAACCTCCTATCTCTTATGTGTAATGAATCTAATATGATTTGTGTTTCTCATAAAGATTGGTGGATTGATTCTGGTTCTACAATCCATGTTTCTAATACCATACAAGGTTTTCTAGATTAAAGGAAACTGAAGGGAAGTGAATGCAAAATCTATTTAGAAAACAGGATGCCTTCACGTGTTGAAGCTGTTGGAACATTTAGACTTGTATTAAGTACTAATTTTATTTTGGATTTGGAAAGAACCTTTTATATTCTTAGTTTTTTCTAGGAATTTAATTTCAGTTTCTAAACTTTTACCTTATGAATACTCTTTCAACTTTTATGGCAGTTCTTTTAATTTAATTAAGAACTCATCTATCGTTGAAAATTGTACTATGGTTGATGGTTTGTTTAAAATTCATTTAAGTGATACTGTTCCTTATAGTTTAATGACTTCATATGCTAGCATTGGTATTAAACATACTGTTATGAGTAAAAACTCATCTTTTTTGTGGCATAGGAGATTAGGACACATCTCTATTGATAGGATTAAAATGTTGGTAAATGCTGGAGTTCTTGAAACTCTTGATTTTACTAACTTTGATACTTGTATAGACTGCATTAAGGGAAAACAAACTAACAAATCCAAGAAAGGTGCTAGGAAGAGTTCTAAACTTTTAGAAATCATACAAACAGATATTTGTTGTCCTGACATGAGCTCTAGCAATAAAAAATATTTCATCATTTTTATTGATGATCACTCACGATATATGTATCTCTATTTGCTTTATCACAAGGATGAAACATTAGATGCTTTCAAAATATATAAAGCAGAAGTAGAGAGACAATGTGGAAAACAAATTAAGATTGTGAGATCTGATGGAGGTGGTGAATATTATGGTAGATACATTGGTACAGGACAAACACTTGGTCTATTTGCTAAATTTCTTCAAGAGCAAGGTATTGAGGCTCAATACACCTTGCTTGCCACACCATCTCAAAATGGTGTAACAGAATGGAGAAAAAGAACATTAATGGGTATGGTATGTAGTATGCTGAGTAACTCCAAACTTCCTGATTCTTTGTGGATCGAAGCTCTTATAACTGCAGCATATATATTAAACCGAGTTCCAACTAAGGCGGTTCCCAAAATGCCATTCGAGTTATGGAAAGTTTGGAAACCGAGTTTAAGTCATTTACGCATTTGGGGTTGTCCAGTTGAAGTTAAAGTTTATAATCCACAGGAACGGAAGTTAGATCTTATCACTATTAGTGCATATTTTATTGGATATGTTGAAAATCTAAGGGACATATGTTTTATTGTCCAAACTATTCCAGTAGAATTGTCGAATTAAGAAATACCAAATTTCTTGAGAATGACGTGGACACGTGGTCAGTGGGATTGATCAACTTAGAGACTTAGTCTCAGAAAAATTGATGTTTCTGATAATGATCATACATCA